TATCTATCTATCTATCTATCTATCTATCTATCTATCTATCTATCTATGGTGTGACGTCACACCCATCAAAGGCCAAAGTGTAAGCTCTCCCCACACTGTTGAGTCTGTGTATTTATGAACATATTGTACATATTATTTAATATTTGTGATGGTGACTGGATGTACAAGCTCAAACTGATCCATGTTTGACAGTAGCTTCAGCTGTTAGGAGCTAAAGATATTTAGGATTCTTTACATGACATGGTCTTCTTGTGTAGCATATACTGGCATAATGATGATGATGATGATAATAATAATCTTTGTCAGTGATATTATAATAAAAAAAAAACGTGTATTTTGTACTTTATAAAATCTGTAGGCTACTAAAAGTTTAAATAACACGGTTCATGTGGTTAAAGGAGGTATAATTGTTGTAGAGTTTTAGATTTAGGGCTTTTAAATTTTATTTTCTCATTGATTTCAGTTATTTATTTATTTATTTTTCGTTCATAGCCTGTGCTATGCTGCTGTGGAAATCTGTGTATTTGCTGTAACGTGACTGGAACATAATAAACAATGTTGTAATGAGTGCATGGTCAATTCAATTTCATTATTTTAGAATGAATATGGATTAAATTATTGATTAGGATTGATTATATATATATATATATATATATATATATATATACATATAACCTTCCTTTTGTATAATTGGGGACATTTTTATAACAGGTCTGAGCTTTTTCAGCAGACTTTTGTGATGATGGGTCTCAAGGAATAATAATTTGAGTAATAATAATCCAAGTATGAATATTTTGATATTTTGAAGGGAGGTCTTTTGGGTTTCTTTAACCAGATTTATTTAAATTTGGAACATCGCTGTGGTGCGTTCACTGACAGGTCCAGAAATGATTCGCATACTGAAATAAATTGATATAAAATGAGTTGTTCCAAAACAATTATTATAACAAATAAATTAAAAAAAGATTTAATAAAAACAACTCCAACAACTAAAAGTCTTGTGCAACCAATTTAAGACCTCATCTGTGTAGAAAATAAAAAAAATAGGAAACACAGGGACTTACAGTGATTTTATAAACTGACAACTTATTCCAACTTTATTCCAACTCAACAATAAAAATTATTGCAACATTCAGCTTTACATTATCAGACATGAAGATGCATGTGCACATCACAATAAAGATGTGCATGTGCACTGCACACAAGTGTGGAAATTATGACTTTATTATTGAACTGCCGAAGAAAAACAACAAAAATAAAAGTGGATTGTGCAAAATGTGCCAAATTTTAAAACAAACACACAAAGGACAAAAAATAAAATGAAAATAAAAAGCGTTACAACACAATTTATTAAAAAAAATATATTTTTTTGTTCCAACTTGTGGTCCACTTTCAGCTCGGAGCAGTGCTGATTCTCATTGCGTCATTTGCAAAGTTATTGAGCACTAATGAGTGAAAAAAGAGGCATATATGTTTATAAATAAAAGTGATGCATAATCAGCTGAATGTGCAGCTAATTGGCATGCAGCGTGAAGACGAGGCTCGCAGCTGTCAGGGAGAGAGGTGTGGCGTTCAGCTTCTTCTGCAGGCCTTTCCACACATTAACAGCAGATGGCGATAACTGATCCTCTAATCAGGCCGCAGCTCCAGAGGCAGTTCTGTCTGATGCAGCCTCAGTGGTTCTCCTCTGGATTGGGATGGACAGCAGATGGCGATGCTTCACTGTTTGTGTCAATCACAGGCTCCCATGCTGTGCAGGAACACTCTAATGTTGTCAGAAGCTGAGAAACTCCACAAAACATGCGCGTAAACACAGAGGATACAGCAACAAAACCAAAGCTGCCCTTTTTTAAAAAGCAAAGCAAAACTCATAAATCCTTGTAATGACTCTTTTCTGACAAGACGTGTGAATATTTTTGTTGCTCATTTTGAATTTTTTGCTTTTTAAAAGATGTATATATATTTTTGAACATGTCTTATTTGTTTTGATGAAGTTTGGAGGATTGTTGCCACTGCTCAAGTCATTTCTTCTTTTAGGGCATTCTGTGTTGCATTTTCAAAAGTGTTGTAGTAGCAATTTTTATGGCAACTTTGTGTTTATTTGTACAAATGACATGTTTTAGTGTCTGTTCTGAGGCCTTTAAAACCAGTTTTACATGTTATTTATGTTTTGAGTTTGCCTTTTTCATTGGTTTTAATTTATTTTTTATGTTTTTTTTTTTCAGTCTTTTTCAACATCTTTGGATTATTCTGTCTTTATGTTGCTTATTTCAATCATTTTGCAGCCGTTTACTTTTTGTTTATTATGTTTCAATTTTTAGCAGGGAGGTTATAAGGGCCTTGCTCAAGGGCCCACATGAGGCAGATGAGGGTGGATGCAGATGTGTGCTTCACCCACCTACCGTTTGATGTATCAGTCAGGGGAGTTGAACTGACAACCCTCCAATCACAGGCTTTCCACTTCTAATGCTTTCTTCACATTTTTACGCCTTTATATTTTTTTGATAATAAATAATCAATCCAAGACTCTGCACTCAGACATTTTGAGCTCCTATTCTGTCTGAATTGCTTAATGGTTAAATCCTCTGGGAATAAGTTTATATATTTTACATTTGGCACAACTGATGGATTTCAGAAGAGGAGGAAAGATGTATGTGAAAGGACTTGATGGGGTTGAAGGACCACAGATGGAAAAGCACATCTGCAGTGCCCCTTTTGTTATAATGTTAGTTTCCATTTGTTTATTTCAACCAATCAGTGAGACAAACTGGTTTAGAGTAAATAACTCCAAACTTCATGATGAGAAACCAAACATATCTATCGTGGTTGAAGTTGATAAAAAACTTAAAGTTGATCTCACTTTAACAATGTTCACTATGCTCAGTGCTGGTTTTTGCCTCAACGTTTTCATTCATTTACAGTTCAGTTTATAACGAGCTGAACTAACAGGCCTTAAAGGAATGCATGCCAAAGTTTTCAACACAGCATGATCTGTAGGTGCCTATGGGATATGATGGGAATCAGTCTCTGCTACTGTCACAACAAATCTTAGCTCAATATACATTGTATGTCAATTTAACTATAGTTTACTAACGTTTGTGTTTAGGTCAGTTAACTACTTGAATTGAGTCTTGATTGTCTTGAAGCTGAAGTTGACCACTGCGATGGATTATAAACAAATTATAAACAATTATAAACAATGCAGACATGTTCCTCTTTTTAGTATTCTTACATCGCTTTATAGCTGTTTTTGTTTCTTTATATATATAATTTCATCTATTTACTTTTCATTTTATATGCTTTTTACATCATTGTCTATTGTCTCATCTTCTTTGTTTAAAGCAGATCCCTCTTGAAAATGAGTCCTCAAAGTTCAGTGAGACTAACCTGTAGAAATAAAGGTTGAATGAGTCCAAATTCAGTGAACCCTTTCTGAGAGTTTTACTGGACTACGTCCAGTGCTTCATGAGATATTTTTCTAACAGACAGACAGTGTTAGCTGTTAGCTCAGCATCTGTCATTTTTCTTGTTTACTTTCGGCTGCTCTCTTCTTCAGAGGTCGACACAGCGAACTAACTCGCACAAAGTTAGTTATTTTTACACCGAACGCCCTTCCTGACACACCACAAACCACCGAGCATCATAGGGTCATAGGGTTCCCAGCATAGTTAAAGGCCTTGCTCAAGGGCCCAGAGTGGGGCAAATGAAGGCGGAGGCAGGTGTGGGTGCTTCACCTATCCCACCCACATTTTGATGTTGGCGATACCGGGAGTTGAACCAGCAACCTTCTGATCACAGGCCCACCTTCTCTAACCTCTGCGCCACCACTCCTAGCTCAGCATGTGTAAAATAAATGGCGTTAACATCCTTTTTGATTTTGTTTTGTTTTCTAAGGTCAATCAGCTCCAATAGACATCCAAGGATTAGATTATGGAGTTTAATTAAAATCCTAGAGGTTGATGATATTTTCGAACTCAAACGCAGACACAGGTAATTACACTATCGCCCGCCTCCACAATAATAAACAGAAACCTGGTCCTGTCCTGCCTCATGTTTTCTTGTTTATATGACGTTGCTACAGAATAATCCCCAAAGGAGTTGTAAATGGTTAAGTGATGCTCATTAATTCAGATTAGGAGGTGCTACTTCTTCATTTTGTTTTCAGTTCGAATATATTTTAAAATCAGTTTGTTTGTTTCAATGTTCTGTTTTGTTTAAAGAAAAGGTAAATGTAAATAAAAAAAACCCGATTTGGATGAGAGTCGCTGCAGTCTTTTTCTGCAGAAACAGTCTGTGGATGAGTCAGTGTCTAATAATAAAACGCACGAGGCTATTATATAACAAGGCACATTCATAATAATAATAATAATAATAATAGTTTTTTTTTTTTTTCAAATGGACTTTTTCACAGTAGCCAGCTCACCCTTCTATTTCGGACAATAAGAACGAGTCGTTCATTGTAGCTGCACACACGCGCAACATGTCTACTTCCTGGGCGCTCGTGAGCGACGCTCCTGCGAGCACGTGACCGCCGCGCGCTCACTCTCTCACAGCAGCCGCACATCTTTCTGGCACCTGCAGGGAGAGGAGAAAGGGAAGGATGGACCCTCCGGAACTTGGAGCTCAGGTAAGAAGAAGGCGATTTGACCAAAGTCGGATTAATATTTCTGAAGTGCTGAACATGGAGGACATCTTATTCAGCAGCTCAGGTGTTGCAGACACCTGTGAGGCTTTCAGCTAATTCTGCAGGATCTTAATTCAAGACAGAGCAAGACCTACTTTATGAAGTGAGACATATTTTCCTTATGTTTTGTAATGACTCCAGGTAAAATATAAAATATAACAAGGGCAAGAATGAGTAAGGTGAAGCGCCATAAACATATTTTTATGCATGTCACTGTAA